GTGATCCTCCTGTCTCTGCCTCTGTTTGGGTGAAAAGGCAACCCACAGGACAGGAGAAAATAGGTGTGGGGTTGTAGCTCAATGGTAATGTGCTTGCCTAGCATGCACAGGCTCTGGGTTCACTTTCTAGCACTGAAAAAAGAAGGAAAAAAAGAATGGGAGAAAATATTTGCAAATCATATATCTGATGAGAGATTAATGTCCAAAATATATAAAGAATGCCAACAACTCAACAACAACAACAAAAAACCTCCAAAATATGAGCAAAGGATCTAAACAGGCATTTCTCCAACAATATACAAATGACTAATAAGCCCATGAAAAGATGCTCAATACAACTAATCAATTGTGAAATGTAAATCACAACCAAAACTAGCAGCTACTCAGAGGCTAAGACAGAACTGCAAATTCAAGGTCAGCCTGGGCAACTTAGGGAAATTATCTCAAAATTAAAAAAAAAAAATTTAAAGCTGGATATGGTGACACAAGCCTTTAATCCTAGTAGTCTAAGAAGCAGACGCAAGACTTGGTGACTTAGTGACTTAGCAAGATATTGTCTCAAAAAGTTGGGGGGGGGGCACTAGGAATGTAGCTGTGTGAAGCCCTGGGTTCAATCCCCAGTACCACAAAACAAAACCACCGCACACACCAAAATGTGAAACCAGACCCACTAGAATGACTATTAAAAAACAAAACAAGAGGGCCCGGGGATTTAGCTCAGTGGTTTCGGTGCCTGCTGCGCAAGTGCAAGGACCCGAGTTCGACCCCCCCCCCGCCCCCGTACCAAAAAAACCCCAAAAAACAAAAAACAAAACAAGAGGGCAGGGGATTTAGCTCAGTGGTTCTGCCGCCTGCCTGGCAAATGCAAGGTCCTGAGTTCGATCCCTGGTACCAAAAACAAGACAAAACAAGAGTGGGGTATGTTAGTGCATGCCTGTAATGCCAGCACCAGGGAGGCAGAGATAGGAGGATCCCTATGAGTTTGAGACCAGCCTGAGGTACATAGCAAGACCCTGTCTCAAAAAAACTAAACCAAACCAAACCAAAACCCAGAAAACAGCAAATGTTGGCAAGGATATAAACCAGAACCCATGTGTGCTGCTAGTGGGAATATAAAAGATGCAACTGTTGCAGAAAAGTGTGGAAATTCCTTTAAAAAAAATTAGAATTATCATATGATCCAGAAATTCTACTTCTGGGTATATACCAAAAGACAAAAAAGAAAAAAAAAAATCAACCAAAAACAGGGACTCAAACGGATACAGTTAAGTCCCTGACTCGCAAATGCATTCCATTCTGGGAGAACACTCATAAGTTGGACAAAGTAAGTCTTAAACACCTTTGACACAAATATACAATGTACATTGCTTTGTGCTTCCTAGTAGTACCGTGCATATCACCACTGCTTTTCCTCTTGCAGAAGCAGACATCCTGCACTCTGAGCACTGTCCTACTGCACACTATCGCATTGCATAGTAACCACACAGCACCACAACTGTGACAAATGTCTGGCAGACACGTAAGCTACTCTTGAGATGTTTGCATCTACAAATGTTCCTAATGTGAAGTCCATTTGAATCTGTGAAAGTTTGCAACTCGAAGAATGCTTGTAAGTCAGGGAATTACTGTTATTTGTATTCCTATGTTTATAACAGCATTACTCATAAAAGCCACAAGATGGAAGCTACCAAAATGTTCACTTAGAGACAGATGAATGGGTAAGCAGAATATGATACAATGGAATTTTATTCACCTTTACAAAGAAATTATGGGCCATGGTGGAGCAGAGAGGGGAAAAAAATTCAATATGGATGAAACTTGCAGACATTATGCTAAGTAAAATAACCCAGACAGTAAAGAACAAATATTGTATGATGCCACTTATATGAGATACCTAGAGTAGACAAATTTATGAGAAAGTGGAATGATGCTTGCCAGGGGTCAGAGGAAGAGGGGAATGAGAAATTATTGTTATTATTATTTTGGGGGGGGCACTGGGGATCGAACTTGGGACCTTGCGCTTGTGAGGCAGGTGGCGGAACCACTGAGCTAAATCCCCAGGTAGAAGTTATTATTTAATGAATATGGAGTTTTAGTCTGTGAAGATGTAATGTCCAGGAAATAGTGGTGATGGCTGCCCAAAAATACTTGCCACAGTACTACAGAATGGTTAAAATGATAAATTTTATGTTAGGTGTATTTTAACACACAAAACCTTAGACTGAGACTTAAAACCACGGTAGGCCCATGCTTTCATGGCGAAAGCTGAACATTCTCCAAGGAGGTCACACTCTCCAAAGTCCATCTCCAATGAGACCATGAAGGAAAATCAACAAGGAACTTCCCATAAGGTACATCCAAGAGCCTCGGAGAACAATGGACTAAGAAGTCTTTCTTGTAACAAAAGCTAGGTCATTAAGGAACTTTCCCCAGCCCCAGAGAATAGGTTAGCCGTGCCTGACCAGTGGGAATTCAGAAGGGCTTCAGACCAGACTGCTGTATCTCTCCTGAATCCTTTTCAAAATGGGAGTCTGAAAAAAATAACAAAAAAACCAAAATGAGAGTCTGAACTGAGGTTATTCTTTTTTTGGTCTACTGGATGTATTTGTGAAGTGCAGATACTTTGTTTTCTTAGTGCATAAATCACGAGAAGCCATACCTAAAGCTGGTGAAGAGACTTCGAGCTGAACATAATGAATGACCAGATGAGATTTGGTGTTATTTCTCTAGGGAATGGACAAGTGTTTCTGAGAGAGGTATTGGCTCCTGATGTCACACTGTGACAAATATCTGTGTTCTTGTCTTCCTGAACCCACAGCAAGACTTCACTTCTCAGTAGGGCCACCAGATTAACAAATAAAAATAAGGATGTCTAGTACCATTTGAATTTCATATAAATGAAGAATTCCTTAGCATAAGGATGTCATATAAACTATCTGGAATATAATTATACTGAAAAATTATTTGTGGCAACCCTACTCTCTCCTCCTTGGAGTAGATGCAGCCATCTGACTTGAGTTCTTGCCAGTAGAATGCGATGGGAGTAGGCTGGCCCCTTAGTGCCCCTCTGGAGAATCACAAAATGCAGACTAGGTCCCCAATGACTGGACATGGGCCTTTCTTCCCAAACCTACAGAAGAACTCTTAAATGCTTAAGCCACTGAAATACATCCCTAAGGTTTTTAATTTTTCCCCTTAGTGCTGAGGATTGAATCCATGGCCTTGTGCATGCTAAGCATGTGTTCTACACTGAGCTACATCCCCAGATTCTCAACAGCTTTTTTCCTTTAAGACAGGGTCTCACTACATAGTCCAGGTTGGCCTCAAACTCACAGTGATCCTCCTGGCCTAAGTGCTGGGATTGCTAGTTTCTTATCCTTTCCTTAATCTTTTTTGGTACCAGGGATTGAACTCAGGACCTCAAGCTTGGCAGGCAGATGCTATGCTGCTGAGCTAAATCCCTGGCCCCTAAGTGCTTTATTCTTGTAACTGCTCTGTGTGAGAGATGCTATCATCCTCATGTTTCAGACAAGAAAGCAGGTTTAGAGATGTTAAGTCACTTGCCCAAAGTCTTTCTTTTTGGTACCAGAAATCAAACTCAAGACCTTGCACTCACAAGGCAGGCCCAGTGCCACTGAACTAAATCCCTGGCCCTGCCCAAAGTCTTTCCTTGTTTTTTGAGACATGGTCTCTCTATGCAGTTCAGGCTGGTCTTGAACTCACTATGTAGCCCTGGCCTCAAACTTGCAGTGATCCTCCTGCCTCAGCCTCCCCCGTGCTGAGACTATAGGCATGCACCAGCAAGCCCTGCAACTTGATTACCTGTAATACCTCATATGATGTAAATCCCATGTAAACAGTTGTTATACTAAATACTGTTTAGGGAATAATGACAACAAAAGGAGTACAATTGTTTTTCAAATATATTTTTTCAAATATTTTTGACTCAGTGGAATTCACAGATGTGGAACTCATAAATTGGAAGGCCACATAGGTCATTTACATGTCACAGATGAGTAAAGTAAGGCTCGGTATCTGGCTCAAGTTTACGTATCTAGTACACAGTGGAGCTGGACTTGGGGCTGATTTCAATGCCTAGATCTCAATAAAAATACTTCAATTACACTCAAACTAAACTCTCCTTTCCTATTCCACTTCCTGCCTTCTACACTCATTCTGTACTCTTAACTTTCAAATCCTAACCATCCTTCAAAGGTCAGCTCAACTACTATTTCTCCACTAAATCTTTTAAGGTATTCCAAATGGGAAGGAATCTATTTTGTATGAATTTATAGAGTACTTGTTCTCTTCCTTTCCTAAGTATACAATTAAAATTTTAATTCATCCTCATCATAAAAAGTTTAAGGCAGGCTGCAGTGATACACACCTGTAATCCAAGCACTTGACAGGCTGAGGCAGGAGGATCACAGATATCAGCCCAGTCTGGACAACTTAATGACTGAGACTATCTCAAAATAAGCCAGGCATGGTGGTACATGCCCATAATCCTAGACTTGGGAGGCTGAGCCAGGAGGATTACTGTGAGTTCAAGGCTACCCAAGCCTACAGAGTTTAAAACCAGCCTGAACTATGTAGTGAGACCCTGTCTCAAAAAAACCAATAAATGAATGTATGAATGAATAGAAAAACAGACTGGGGATTGGAATTATAGCTCAGTGTAAAGGCACCACACACACAGTTCAAATTGCTGGATGTGGTGGCACACATGTGTAATCCCAGCTGTTCAAGAGGCAAGAAGGTCACAAATTTGAGGCTTGCCTGGACAACTTCAAAAAAGGGCTGGAGATTTAGCTCAGTGGCGCCACACTTGCCTCCCAAGCGCAAGGTCCTGAGTTCGATCCCCAGTACTGGGGGGGGGGGGGGGCTGGAGGTATAATCCTGTGATAGAGCACTTGCCTAACATGTGCAAAGTTTTGGGTTCAACAACTAGGACAAAAAAAAAAAAAAAAAGCAAGCAAGAAAGAAAAGAAAATATTCAATTCCAATTTTTTAATCCTGTATATATTTTTTGGTGAAGGTGAGTCAGTCTGTTAAAAAAAAAAGGAATAACTTCCCCCACCCCAGGGGTACTGGTAAAGACATGTCAAACACTCCCTCTCCGCCCATCTTCATTAAAGAACAAAAAAGCATCTACTAGTAGGTACACAAAGCCCAAGCTGGTCTGGTTTTTGTTTTAGCAGGGTCTCAGAAGGAAATGACTTTTCTCTGAAATCGTAGACACCCAACCTAGCTGTGGTATTGTTAGACCTCAGGGTAAACAGGAAGCTTCCTGTCTTGGGCTTTTCATGTTCCTCTTCCAGACTATTAAAGACTGTTAATAGGATGGTAAAAGGACAGCTGCTGGCCATAAAATCAGCCCATTCCTTAGATCCTCACAGAGTAGCAACTAGACCTCTTTCCAAGGTTAGAGAGAACCCTGTCCTTCTCCAGGTCATTCCAAGTGTGTCTACCTACCTAGAGTCTTCAGGAATATGGTTTCTGGGAGTGATGAGATCCAGTGTGACAGTTACACTGAGACTTCTGGAGTTGGAGTCACATCTTCTAGGAAAGGAACAATCAATCTTGACTATCCCCTAAAAGCAGGCAAAGAGAAGCCAAGAGCAAAGGACCCAGTGCTGTGAGATGGGCAATAAAGGATTGAAACAGGACCCCAACTCCTCCTGCACACAGGGTGAAAGTCCCTGGATTTGCAGCTGTTGGTGAGGAGAGTGAGTTTTTGCCAGCTGGAAAGACATTAGGACAGGGGTGATCATCTTTTGCCAAGGAGGGCACTTGGTGTCTTGGCAGAAGGCAGAGGACTGCCCTGATTTGTGTGTACATTTTCAGAAGCATTTGACTCCAGACCAAATGCTCGGCTGTGTTAGTGCTATGCCGATGAGTGGGAATGCTTATTGGCCAGGCTGGCCAGAGGCTCCCACAGAGGGTGTTGGGCCTCATCCAGGAGCTTCCCTTCAGCTGGCAAGTTTAACCTTCTGTCACGGTCAGAGGGAGTATGTCCAAATTCCAACTCTCAGGGCTCTCCAGAAGCTGCTGATTACCCATCTGTTTTGAAGAGTTTTTGCTTATTGGAATTTTTGGCTCAAATAGGGAATAAGAGGGATGATGAAACAGAGCCAAACTCATACCTGGCTCAAGGAATGGGCAAAAACTGCTCCGCAGGGTCAGTGATCTTACTACCGTTAGTGATAGGCACGTAACTAAAAGCAGGGGAGATGCCATCTCAATCTTGGGACTTGCCTACAATTTAGTCTTTCAGGCTGCTGTGTTTGCTCCTCCGACCCAAGTCTACCAAGTAAGCAAGCACAGGCATTTGAGAATGGCAGGAAAACCAATTGCTGCCGGTTACTTTATGCAGGACAAGACTTATTTGCCAGGTGTCACTGTTTTCCCTTGTTCAAAGAAAAGATCACCGCAGTTAGTTCTCAGAGTTGCACCCAAGGGTGGAGTACTTTCTTCTAGACTGAAAGCAGGAGAAACGGAGATACTTTCTTGTAAAGTTACATTTGAGCATCTACATAAGTGGTTAGACTGGGGCAATTCTGTTGTTTAAGGCACCCCTCAAGATCTTAGAGCTGAAAAGGACCTACAATGACAGCATAGCATCTACCCTCATTTCAGAGGCTGTAACAGAGGTTCTGAAACTTGCCCAAGGTCACAGAGCTGGGGTTGTATTAAGACAACTAGAATCTAGGGCTCCTGCCAGTTTTTGGCACTAGGAATCAAACTCAGGACCTTGTGCCTCCCTGACAAGCACAAGGTCCTGAATTCAATTCCAAGTATCAAAAAGAAAAAAAAAAGACAGGATCTTGCTAAATTGCCCAGGTTGGGCTCAAATTTGTGATCCTCTTGCCTCAGCCTCCCAGAAAGCTAGGATTACAGGCATGTGCCACCATGCCCAGCTTCCTGACACATTTTTACCCTGACATTTTTTCCAAGTGATTTTATTTATGTATTTATTATTTGATGTTGGGGAATCAAACCCAGGGTCTCATGTACTCTACAAAAGAGCTATAGCCCAAACCCCTATTATTTGTAAAATATAATTCATTGCATATATGACTAAAAATTATTTAATTAGAGTATCTTTGTAAGATTTTTTTCATATCATACAAGAAAAAAATCTTCAGAAATATCCCATTTAGAGAAGATAGTCCCACTTTCCTAATGGCACCACATTGTCTAAGCCTGCACTATCTTGTGTGGACCAGTCCGTTTGCTAGAGCCTTTGATCAAGCATACATTTAAATAACTTACATTAAAATGTATATGTGAGTTAGGAGCAGATTTATGCAGACTAACTAGACAGATCCAGGGGTAGTTTAGACAGACTTGGAATAAAATTATCTTCACTTATAGTGAAGATAGTTATTATTCTAAAACTTGTCCCAGAAGGGTCTCTCTAGTGCCTCATGCTTCTCCCATTCCTAACCACCATCCAAAGATCAGGGTGATTTGAAAAAGTTCCAATGGACAGAGAACTGATCCCAGGGCAGCACAGGAAGCCCCAGTGTGTCTTTTAACTTTCAGACCCTAGGTTAAGTCAGCTTCCAGGTTTCAGCCTGTCCCTCGAGACTTCAGGTCACGTCCAAGGCAGGAAGTTGCAATGTAGGAGTAGTCCCAGGAGCCAGTAAGTCAGGAAGTAGCCTAGAATGTATCGTGTGACTGGAGAACAGGTTTTCCAGTTGTACAAAAGTCCCATGACAGAATTTCTGAGAACCTTTTGTCCAGATGGGGAGTCTTCCACAAGAGGCATCCAAGGCACTACCTCTGGGGATCTCAACAGTGGCTCTTGATCCTGAAGTAAATAAGCTGGAAACCAGTACATGACAGGAGTGGAGGAGCCCAAAAGCCTGGTGAGAACCTAGAAATCATGAGAGGAAAAACCCACACATTTATGGGAAGTTCTCTGATGCAAGATGGATCAGCTTGGGGGTTCTCTGCTTCTGGATGAACTACAGCCCAATGACTAGAATTACATTGCACTGGAAAAGCAATTCAACAAAGCTGAGGATGTGTGTTATAAATATGCATGCGATACCTGCCAGTCAACCATGTTATAAACAAACATAACATCAGACTATTTACAATAATGGGACAATCAATGCTAAAAACTCTATGGGGTCTAATTTTAACCCATGACCTGGACTCTAAACTCTGGGCTGTGACTTGTGGCTTGGAAACCTAAGAAGGCTTCCTTATCCCACAAATGGGATAGCAGAGGGAAAGGGGCCGGAGAGTCTGTGGTTCAACTTTCCTCCTCTGCCAGGATTTCAGAGCCAAGTCTTCAAATGGCCTCCCCCACCTACTCTGGAAACCCTGAGCTTGGCTGGCACTTACTCTATCAGCCAATCCAGACACAAACACATAATGCCACTTTCTATTTTCCCTGTATCTCTGATCCACACAACTCAAAGAATCTCACAAATAGCCAATATGTGTCTCCAAGAGGTAGACACTGCTAAGGGAGAGGTCAACCTGGAGACAATACTTCCCAGGGGATGTTGAAACCAGGGCCACAGCCAAGAACAAAAGTCAGACTTAAGATCAACCCCCTCCTAATCCTTCTGTATTGTCACCACCAACCCGTAACAGACAAGATATCTCCTTTGAAAACAGCACCTGCCTGAGCTCAGATTTATTTCCAGAAGCTAACATAGGTATACTTGCACATTAGGGGAAGGTCCCCAAGATATCCTCTATGTTTATTCCTATAGCACAACTGAATCAGGTCCTTTCACAATCCTGATGTCTCTGCACATGTCCCCCTCCCCGCCAAATCTGCCTAGGGTGTTTCTCCTTTGCTTTTTATGGAAAATTCCTTCTTATTCTTCAGGATGCAACTTCAACATGATGATGGCTTCCTCAACTCCTTCAGTGAGTTAGCTACTTTTTCTTTTCCTCAATACCTCAACTGAGGTTTTAAAAAAATACTTTGTAAGTTTAATGGACAGATAAAGAGTAAGCATATCTGCCCTTGTTCCCCACCTTAAGAAGAAAGCATTGTATCTTCTCCATTTATATAAGGCATTCTCGCTGGAAGTATGGAGTACATGTCTTTAATCTGTTGAGAAGTTTCTGTTCTACTTCTAGTCTCCTGATAGCTTTTACCATGAACAGCTGTAGA